GTTCAACACTTAACGGACAAGAGCATTGGATAATCCCCAGTGGACGTGAAGCCGCTCCAACCAAACAGTCAACACAGGCCTCTATATTGTAAAACAAAACTCGAGACATGCGCTGATGTCTGGGCACCCCATCTATCCTGCAGCGATCTAGGAAGCACACGCTATCTGAGCACTGAGCTTTATCAACTCAGATATACATTTTGTCTGATTTCAGAATTATGGTGCTTGCAGAATAAAACGGTCTGCATGCATTACACACCAGGATCACTGGGCAATAATTCAATCCACCTTTCAGGACATGCAAGCGATAATGGCATGGAATAGGCTGTCACTCTATCGTGATGCGCATCTAAGATCCTGAAGCGAGCACGGAAAATCTCATCATGCGTATTTCATGCATCATGACACAGTCTGCTTAGAGGATGCTATGGGATAAGCTATGCGCTAAAGAAAACTAGAATGAATAGCCTGCAGTAAACGCATTGGATGTGTAGGATGCTAGTGGTTGCTCAGCACCAGGAAACACTAAACTCCGAACATATAGCCGATGTTGTGATGTATGCCATACATCCTAATTTGTCCACAACATCTATGTTCACCAATGAATGCACAGTGTCATTGCATGTGGTACAATCTGTTTTAATTAAAGGCATGAGTAATCACAAGTGGCTATCCTCAGTATTACGTGCACAACGTGCAGAAACTAAAGTAATGCCTCATCCAACAACCATGTCCCAAATTCATTTCGCCAAGAACTCAACAAGTACCTGCACTTTGGTCACGATAGGATCTGTAGGTCCCCGGAGAGTGTGGAACACTATTGATAAGCGGAATGACGTTGAAACGTGACACGTGGATGTTTTGAGGAGAGAGCATTGAAACGCAAGCTAATTGGCTGCGCTCCAGTGCATCGGTGATGTATAAAATTCCAGCGACCAACCAGACAGAAATAACCGCTTAGATGCCACGGAGGTCTATCTTGCATAGTATACAATAATTATATCACTTCATCAAGGCTGCCACATCGCCCAGTCATCAGTCAGCAGAGCTGATAGTGTTGTATCTTGCCGGTGGGGTTACAAGGAAGTACAGGATATTAGCGGATAAGGATGTCTGCTATCCAGGTCGCATATGGTGCTGTATGGTTTCATGCGTCGTGTATGAACTTAACTTCAAAAGGCAGTGAAGTTCCAGGCTGTGCTATAATAAAGTGCTCACATAATCAAGTAGGAGACAACCAGCTCCAATGCGTGTCACTTGAACCACTGCTTATCTACCTTTCAATGTCATGCCGTCATGCAATCTGTAACAGCTGCTGTAATTCACACTTTAGCTTTGTGGGTATGTATCTCCTCGCAGAGCTCCTCATTAATTATGAACCCATCATAACCAGTATACCCAATTCATTCCTGATAATTGTTGTGTTATGACCGAGACTTTGAATTGCAATATTTTCTGACACGAATTTGCGAAAAACAGTGATTGAATGTGAGCAAGTGTTGTTTCCAAGCGAAATTTTAATATTTTGTTGTATCTTTTAACTCCACAACAGAACAACAAGGACAATCAAGGCTTGTGTGCTGCTACTTTAAGGTTCATGCTCACGCAATCATCAGGCAACATGAAGATCGGGTGCCGACCATGCCGGTAAATATGCCAGGAGAGGGTGGTATAAAAAGCTGTGTGAGACTGTGGGGGCTAGTGGTGGTATTTTAGGGTGGGAGCTGTGTGGAAAGTGTGTGGTTGTTGAAGGCAGGGGGCTAGCAGTGCAGTGTTAGCGCGGAGTGTGTGGCTGGAGTGGGCAGGAGGTGGTGAGCCGTGCATGAAGATGTTGTAGGCAGGAGGCTGTAGAGCTAGCAGTGTGATATTAGCGCAGTGTAAATGTATATGGCTGAGGTGGGCAGGGTGTCATGAGCAAGGTGTATGAACGTGAATGTTGTGGGCAGGAGGCTGTGGAGACGTGTTAAGGTGACACCATGGTATTTTAGAAGATACAAGTATCGATACAAGTATCTCCTAAAATACCATGGTGTCACCCAAACAAGTCTCCACAGCCTCCTGCCCACAACATTCACGGTCATACACCTTGCTCATGACACCCTGAAAAGGGAGAATTTAGCTTAGAACTACACGTGAATAACGTGAAGAGGAATACATTTGGGAGAAAGGAGATTGGGGACCATGAAGGTGGAGATTTGTAAATATGGACATGCTACTATGGACTTTTCTCGTGTCGTTATGGTCAATATCGAAATCCTCAATCCTGCCGAAACAGACAAATTTGTATGTCCTAAGTTTGGAAAGTGATTCACTATGTCATCTGCAGCATAGAACGATATGAAGTGCCAGTGCAATTATAATATTCTAGGAACGTCCTTTGAGTTTACGGTTGTCTGGTGGAAGCCATGTTCAGCAGGCGCAGTGTCCCTGCGGATAAAGCAGTTCATTTGATTTTGAAAACTTTTGGTCAGGAGTTTGGAGATGAATGGGAGAAGAGTGCCTGCAGCATTGTGCGCAAGCAATAAGAAGTAACCGAACACAAAGACACATAGTTATATGCACCAGGTGAAGATAAGTGAATACTAATTGCTCCGGCTTCTCGATCAGTCTGATACGGGACCGGAGTTGAGGGAGCAAGCGGATAATAGTGGTGATAAAGCTATGGAGCCATACACATAACAGAACATCAATTTCCAAAACTCGGGCAGTATTTCCTTCATGAAACTGGGTTCTCCGGCAACCGGTTATTCTTTCCGAAATTTGCGTGCTTTTCCGAGATATTCACAATTTTGAAGATGGGGCAGATGCATTATTCGCATTTATTGACCAGAATATGACCCATGGCATGATCAAGTGCACAAAGTAGGAGGGAAAACAGAAAATTGGAGAGGACTCTACTTTGAGGGAGGGCAATAGCATGGCATTTGTTTCGCAAATTTACGAAAGAGGCGTCCTCTGTTCCCGCAATAATCTGCCGACGGCCCTTCGGCTGGATAGGAATGGACGCCACATAATCAAGTAAATCCCTACAAATTGTTTCCAGGCACTAATCTGCTACTTGAGGTTTGATCACGAAGATGGTCTCCAGGCACGACGTCGAACGTAAATTATTTCTTTGCTATGAGTCGCGACACAACGTTCTCCTTTCGCTCGTAAATGTATTTATCACAGCAGTCAAAGAATAACCAACCTGGCTGTGAAAAATCCAACACGTTGGCCCAGCAGCATCCGTTTCCAGGGTAATGGACTGAAATGTAGAGTTTGCAGGTTGAGCATGGCAAGCAAATGCTCTTTTATTTTTCCGTAAACTGACGAGAGGTGGCCCTTTCGCTGAGCGCTATATCAACTGCTGATCTCCAAGATAGTGCACCTGTCATTGGTCCTTCCTTATAAAAGGTACCTTTTACCTCAGGGACATTTTTTTCTACACATATTGCCGAAAATAATTCCTAGCAGGTATGTTTAAGTCCGGTGGAGTCATAATCCGGTAATTCTAGGGTAGTTGAAATTTTGGTAGTTCTATGGTTAAAAAAGCACTAAACAAGAATCAATGTCTCATCAGCATTCAAAACGCCCCCTCTTTCAACTCCTTTATGTCATGAACAATATACACTGATTCATTGGTTTGGGTGAAGTACATGTCATCATGTTGCCAGCCTTTCACCTCTTTTTATTGCCTGATGAGTCCAGCGGGGACGAAACGTACGTCGCAATCGAGCTATGTCGTTGCTGTGTCATCTTCTATGTGCCATGCGCCACTTGATGTACCAGCCTGCTATGTAGGATACCGCCAACCATGCATCGACTAAGCGCCATGCGCGAACTGATGTTGGTGGTGGTGAGAAGGAGATCTCTGTGGTAGAATTTTGCAGCTTAGAGAGCGTGTGTGAGCAGGCGTGTGTTTACCGCCATATTGCCAGGTGAGTCTTTACCACCATATTATTTTATCAACCATAAGTACAGCTGCAGTGGTGTCTTCAACTTCATTCTTCCGAGTCAAGCTCCATATGAAGACAACCTTCAAGAAGATTGCCTGATGAGTCCAGCGGCGAAAAAACGTACGTCGCAATCGAGCTATGTCGTTGCTGTGTCATCTTCTATGTGCCATGCGCTACTTGATGTACCAGCCTGCTATGTCGGATACCGCCAACCATGCATCGACTAGGCGCCAGGCGCAAACTGATGGTGGTGGTGGTGAGAAGGAGAGGTGTGTGCTAGAACTTTGCAGCTTAGAGAGCGTGTGTGGGCAGGCGTGTATTTACCGCCATATTGCCAGGCGTGTCTTTACCACCATATTTATCAACCATAAATCTTCAACACACGTATATTATTATATTATTGATTGAGTACCAGGTCAATATAAGAAATAAAAGCCGACGTCTTTTAGGAGGCTTTTATGTCCTGTACTGACCAAGTAAAATAAAAAATAAATTTCACGGTTCGCGTGAGACTCGGCTGGAAGCCGAGTTTTCCGCTTCCGCCGTGGGAACGCCACCACCCTCTAGGATCAAAGGCGCAGATGCAGCGCCTAAACGGTGGGAGGTGAGTAGATGAGACCCACCACCAGAGGTCGAAGACCGAAATCCTATTAGCTGCATCTATGTTACCCTCGTGCCAGGCCACGAGTTCCCAATTAACTGTGGGTAGCAGCACGGCTGGAAAAATTCCTTATGCTTCCAAGCAGGACTTGAACCTGGTACCCTCTGTTTCTCAATCATGGTCTTAGACCACCCCACTATGCCTGCTGACCAAGTACGAAGTCAAAAATAGATTTATCACGACAAACAGTCCGTATTTCAAATTCGATAATCTCATGAATCCCAGTTTATGATTACACAACCGTTGCACCATCAACCATTGATACGACTATATACGGGTTAAAGGCTGCAGCTCGTGCAACCCATTAAAGAATAGTGACCATGCACTAAGCACCGTTCAACTGAGCAACCCTGAGCGTCAAACAATATAAGCAGTCAATAATGTAAGGAGTAAAATATGCAGGAATAATTGACTTCTTAGGTATAGCGATAATCAATGGGAGTCAAAACAAAGAAAGTGATAAAGTGTAGTACTTGGTGTAAGTGCAGTGCACAATGATCTTATAATCCTGCCTTATCGTGTGTTATAATTATTACCATAGAAAGGAGGCATGGCCAAGTTAAGCTACTTCTTGTAAAGTCTGTGGAAGACAAAAAGGATAGTTTGGAAGTGAATTATATTTTTACAGAAGGTGTGCAACTGACTTGCAAGCGAACTATGAAAAACTGGACGCTTTATGTGGCTCAAACTGCCAATTCTGGAAAGATAATATTTCATTCAAAAAATGGGGAAAGTGGAAAGGTAAGTGGGCATGTAACGTGGATAGGATAATGCCTACATTATTAGCAGTTCAAAAATGAGGACCAGCGAGAAATCGCCCTCACCGAGTGCGGTGTTGTTCCCAGGGAAGGCATGCAAACATAGCCAGTCGTCCCAGATAATGAATGTGACGCATAAAGTACGAGACAAGATCAGACATCGAAGAAAAGTGAACTTTTTTTTTTTTTTTATCTTTTGGGGCTTCGCGACCTCGTGATCCTAGACTTAAATTGGGTATTTCAGTGTTTTCTGCTGTTCTTGGTCTAATCTACACTCGCATTTGCCAGAATAGAACGACAGAACCATCTCGTTTAATATGATCTTGTTTTGGTATGGGGCCCCCGAAGATGAGTAGTTCCGATGCGACAGATCTTCATGTGAAGCGTAAAACCAATCCAATCCAAATATAACGCCTTTCACCATCTTACTTGAACGTGTCTGATGTCGCTCCGTAGGCGTCATTCGAGGTGAGTTGCCAGGATGCTCTCGTAGTGCTCATGTAAGCTGTGCTCTCGTACATAGTAACGGTAGCTTCGTTTGATTGCTCTACAGGTATTCGCAAATCCGTCTGATCAAGCCGCTCGCCAATCACTGTTTCGTATATGCCAGTTCCCTCTGCCGCCTTGCTACTGTATTGATGCTCTTTATCAGAACTATCATTGGACCCAGACCGTCTGGTTGTCATTCTGGATCTCCACAACACTGAACATATCACAGATATAACCAGGATTGTCCCAGCAGACGCGGAAATTCCGATTATAGCTGCCTGTCCGAGTGCTGAAGAGTCTTCTTCAGAGGGCTCGACGTGGGAAAAGTTTGTAGGCCGTTCAATAGTCACTGGGCTAGAGAAAGCGAGCGTCTCCCTTTCCTTCGTAAATTGAGGGGACATCTTCATAGTAGACGGAGACCGATGGATAGTTGTTACACCTAGGATAAGAGTGTAAGGACATTGATTGAATGATACCGTCAAATCAAGTCAATTTGGAGGTGATCCTTGGAAAACGAACTTATTGTTGCCAAACAGCAAGCACTGCAAATGGAATGTAATTTTGTGTTGATTAACCACAGTTTATACATTTGACTGAGAACACAATGTAGAAATACATCATAAAGATATGGTTATTCATACGTTTGTTGGAGTTGAAAGAGGTTAAAGTCAGCCGAATGAAATGACAGTCACCAGCAGAACTCGCACCACGGATTAAACGTTATCACGGGAAGTGCTCTGCCAATAAAATATGCTGCATGTTTCATCCCAAACCCAGTCCATCGACATATTCTGGGGTCTTCTCAGCGGACTTTGAAGATCAAGCGTCTCGTGGTTTGCACAGATGCTGTGTTCAGATGCCGCACATAATGACATGGGTTTCTCAACAAAAATTAGCGTGATTGCGAAAATGTTGCAATTAACCAACTGTCTTTTAATGAATGGAAAACATTACACACTTCAGGGTTTATGAACTAATCGAGGTAAGTATACCTTTAAAACATAATACGAGAATGCAGTTAATTTTTACCAGACACAGAAGGTGTATTGCCGCCTTGAAGTTTGGTCGAAATCACTGCTCTAGCATGTGGCACCAAACTAACAGGCATCGGGCTGGTGTTGGTTGTTGATGAATCTCGCGATGCAGGATGTGCGTGTCCGCGTGGGGTCTTAGAAAATGTCGTTTCTGTTGTGATTTCCACTGAAGTAGCGGCTTAACAAATACAAGAAAATACGCATGACACATTAGCACTTATTATCATTGTACTATTCTTAACGGACCGTATTAGTTGGCAGCAGTTTTCTCCACTAAACAGTTCACTTAATACGGAATCCAGCTAATTGGGCTTTCTGCAATGCCTTAAAGCAATATCTTCAAGTTTGTTTTCTACCATTCTCTTTGTCTTTAAATATTGGCAATACCCCACGGTTTTAGTTCAGTAGATATATGAAAAAATATGAAAGGAATCAAATCGTCTCCACTATCACCAGTCTTCCTTGATTGGAACAAATGCCAAGACGTGGAATGCGAGTGCCAACCGTCAGTATTAGCCTAAATATCTCAAACCCTGAACATAGAGTGTCTTGATAATGAATAGGTAGAAAACAGACAATAGCATGTAGGCAATAATCCGTCTTGAATGAACAGAAGCCCATGCAGGACCTTTGACCTACCGCTCCAAATAACTGTCTCCAGGATTTTGTTTGTTGATGCTTTCAACCCTTCATTCGTAGGTAAAACACCCGCATGGGTTGAAATGGGAAATGTCGTGGATGTTGATGGTAGCGTCAATATTCCGCCCTTGTAGTCTATAACAAACACATCTAAATATGCATTATAAGAAAGAGAGTGTTAAAGAATGTAATGTTAAGAAGTATTTTTGTGAAAGAATGCGCTTTGTGATGGCATCGAACTTGCGAAGTCCACTAGTTGCACCCAGTGCGCAGTTCACGCACCCATTGCTACTGGCTGGACGCAGGAGGTGGAGTTTGTTTCAGCCTTCGGGATGCGGCATGCTTCACGGTGTGGGATTAGGACATTTTTCGAAGTCAAGTAGTACAAAAGTTCAAGAATTGTTTGTTCTGGAAAAATGGAAATCGTTGGGGCACAGGTTATGCTTTATAGTCCACCGACTAAACCAGGTTTTGAACAGTCAGACGTGCACAAGGTAGCACCGGACTGACAATGAGTATTGATGCATTCCACAGAAAGGAGGTGGGCCTTATTACTCCTTTAGAATCTAGCACATGAACACAATAACAATACAAGTACTGTTCAACTTGAAAGGAGCTTGAGAGAGGATCTGCAAAGGTAGACACAAGTGTAAACGACCTTAATAGTTTTTGTACTTGGTCCGGCTCATCGCAATTGTCGCTTATCTATCGCCACTAAGAACAGGAGTTTTGTGGCCGCTTTGTTAAATTTTCAATAGGCATAGTGAGGAAGCATGATACATGAATACTCTCCGCCACAAGAAAAAAAATTCACCCATGGAATCAGGTGAAGCGAGTGATAGAAGGGAAGCAAGGTAAGCAAAAATGCAAGAAATATATCAGCGAATTAGCGCGTTCCTGCATTCACACTCTAACAGGTCCAGAGTTCATTCAACTCTCCATCACTCGAGCTGCCGCCGTTACATGAGCTGACATTTAACAATTGCTGGTGTCTAGGTGCTAGCGACTGGAAGAGTATCTCTTGCTTTGCCAGCCTGTCGTATGGCAGCAATGGGAAAGGAGCAGTTGTGTCTGTCACTTCGGTGCTTGAAGGAACCGTGGGCAGTGTGACCTGTGTGTCACCACAGTGTGTTTCAACAGAGCCTTCGACACTGACCAACGGTACTGACGTTCTACACCTGACTGGAAATCAGCTATAGCACAGCTTGAATGCGCACTCCAAAAGCCTTCCAACTCGGAAGGTTCTACGTTATAGAAATAGCACATAAGGAGGGGATTTTTTGCGCGACCAAGACAAGTACGAGCTAAAAGTCTCATATATTAAGGACGGTGGCGGATATACATGTATGTCGAGGACAATACTGGTAAGACCATCAGACAAAACCGTAAAACGACGATTCACGGACGCATAGCAACATACCACACAACGCATGTTGCTCTTTCCCTTTCTTATGTTGTTTCTTTGTGGCGGGTCTTTGAAATATGTACACACTGCTTGTCACGAAGATTTTACATGCAGAGAATGCAAGTTGACTGAAGTTTCTACAGTTCTATACGAAATGCCGCCGCTTCCAGAGGCAAAAACAAGAGGGTGGCACCAAAGAGGCCTGCGTTCGTGAAGTGCATAGTCAAATTTTGAGTGCTCCGAACAGGATTTTTTTGTTTTCACTACCTACATCATGTCCGCGCCTTGGCTGCAAAGTGTGAGCCAATTTACCGCGTTTACCAGCTGAAATCAGCGTTTCGCTAGCACTCGTCAAATATAGGTCGAATTTGACCTATGGACCCTCAAAGGGTTAACAATGCCACATAAGTTGTCTAGTACGTTGTCTTTGCTATATTTTTTTTCTTTGCTATATATTAATTTTTTCTTTGCTATATTTTTTTCTTTACTATATTTTTCCCCTTGAACGTGATAATTTTCGATGTTTTTGCAGATTGTTGTATCCTAGTACGCCCTGAAGGTTTTAGAATTCCTTTTCAATTCAGCCATTCCCTGTATAATCCTGAATAGAAGTTGTATTTCTCGCCGGCCGAGCGCAGTGAGATAGGCGATAAATGATTTATCGCGAAATATTTTCAGTTGCTAATATGGAATCTGGTGTGTTCTCTATTGGCATTTCTTTTCCTGACTTCTTCAGTCAGTTTTGAGTCTCACCAGTGTCCCTGCCCTCCCACCCTTAATTTCTGTGCATTTGATCATTTTTTTTTTTTTTTTACCGTGATGTGCTTACCATGCCTACATTATGCCTAATCGCCATTGGGGATATACACCCGGCTTTTTCACTCACAACTGCGTCCTTCGGCGCGAGGGTTTTGTTCCGGCTGGCGCGGTCCAGGAAAATGTATCTGACGGTCCCAAGTGGCTCTGCATCAAGGCCTATTTCTGCTATTCCCTTGAACACTATTCTATCTGATACACTCTGTTGTCAGTCCTTGCTTCCACACCTCACTCGTTATCTGGTTCACATCTGGCGGCAGCCAACTACCCTTTACCTTTGTGTGCTGTCGCAGTTGCTGTCTATGTCTGAGTGTGCCAGTATATGTGGAGCGAGAAAGTAACAAAAAGGTTTCATATCTGATGTGAAGAGTCTTCCGGACTGGATGTGCTAATCGCGTGGATGCATGAGAACTTCACTCGACCTGCCTGAAAAGAGAAAAAAATGCCAGCCCCACCAGGACTCGAACAGGGACAGTACCTGTCACGAGCAATGCTCTAACCATATGGCCTATGGGACCAGGCTGAACACACAAGGAACTGACAGGTTTTTCACTCCAAAACAGGTCACAACACATGCCACACATGCTGATGGAACTTGGGTCGCTTTCTCTTCCCCAGGCGACCAACCATGGTCAGTTTTGGGAAAGTACAACCAGAGGTGGCCCAACTAGGTTGCACTCCACTATGGGTCTGCGCCAACTGCCAGTTTGCACCAGGTTCGGCAAGGGTTGCTTCGCGTTGTGGGGCGCCCAGCTGTGGAACACCTTACCCAGCGATAAACGTACCATCTCCGCGCTCCGCCAGTTCCGCGCCAGCATGATCCCGCACACCCTTAGTACCTAGATTACCAAACGTCCTCTTTGATGATCAGCTGGCTTAGTTTTTCTCCACCTCTACCCTTATTACATCCCTCCCATTTTCATTAATTGCTGCTTTCATTCTGCGTTCGCAACCTTTTCATTGGGCAGATTCCTCTTTGGTTTGCGAAATTAAAATAAACCCAACAACAACAACAACAAGAACAACAACAACAGGGTGATGTTTAGTTTGGGTATTACGGTTCTCGAAATTTGACTTGTTGAGCAATCGGGGGAGGCTGCTCTAGTGCTACTGCATTCCGCATTGCCCGCTACTTTTCGTCGTTAGAGCACTCGGGCGCTAGAGGTGACGAGCTATTGTAATGTCTGTAGTGTATCCTTTGCACTATGCATGGTAGCTCTGCCTACTTAAAGTTTGTAGCTGTATTGATGAGGCCTCTATGGCCAGATTCGCTTACTGGCTACAGCATTGGATAAACGTTTAGTTATTAATGTTGTAAAGATGATCGATTCAATACGAGGCTAAGATCAATCAAGCACCATCGAAATGAACTGAGCAAACAATTCAAAGTCACAATGAGAGGTAGTGGTGGGTGCGGGAGGAGAGCATCGTGCATCTATTTGAAAAGTACATTTTCACGTACATTACTCTGTACTTACATTCCATGAAGAGGTTGAATAAAGGCTTGAGCTTGACGCCGAATTGATTTCCTTTTATTGAGCAGTTTGAGCGTGATCCTACTAACACGTTAATTGATGATGGACCATAGGACTGGCGTTTCAGAGCATCTTGAACGTTATGGAATGAGTAACTAACATTACAAGGACTCGAACCACAGGTAACCGTTTCACCCCAAGTATGACTGTTATCTCCTCGAACGACAGTGTACGTCACGTCGCAATGACTACCACGTCCAATTATGAAATTGATGTTCGCAATCTTCATATCACATCTGTCCAAAACCCTGAAGGTAGTGAAATGTGCGATCAAGGTAGAAACCTCAATCCATCCTGCTGTAGTGTTCGGTAAGGTACTGTAGTACACAATCCCTGGTCTCCCGGAAACAACGCGTTCTTCACTTAGCTCATGTCTCGTTCTGCATGCTACATCACTGTGTGAAACTCTGATCACTGTGCTGAACACAATCAATGCTGTGCACACAAGAGCAATGCATAAAGCACTAGAAGAATAGCACCTCACACAAACAAGTCAACAAAGAGGCATATTTAGATTAAGGTTTGCTGGTTTCGAAACAACCGGTTTGGAGCTCAAAGTAGAGCTGCTGTTAGCTCAGAGCAGAGCTGCAGTCAGCTCATGGTAGAGCTGCAGTTAGCCCATGGTAGAGCTGCAGTAAGCTTATAGCAGAGCTGCTTTTAGCTCAGAGCAGAGCTGCCGTTAGCTCAAAATAGACCTGCGGTTAGCTCAAAGTAGGGCTGGTGTTAGCTCATAGCAGAGCTGCGGTTAGCTAAAAGTAGAGCTGCGATTAGCTCAAAGTAGAGCTGCTGTTAGCTCAAAGTAGAGCTATCATCAGCTCAACGTAGAGCTGCAGAGCTAAATGGATGTGATAATAGGGCAAGGCAGAGCCGCAGCAAATAGCAAAATAACACCAACTGTGAGAGTGGACCTGATTAGTGGGTGCGATAATAATAATGATGGCGTGAATAAGTTGGATAGAGAGGGATGGTAATTTCAAATTTGGACTTCACGGAGATTTTTAAAGTATTGGGAAATTAGAGGCCACATGCCACGTACTGCTCTTTTCTCTCCGAAACTCAAAACTTGCAAGCCAGATATGAAAGAAAGAAAGAAAAAATCATGAGTCACACCACCGGGACTCGAACCAGGGACCTTACTCTTCGCGAGCAATGCTCTAACCAACTGAGCTACAGTATGACTCTTATCCACAGCGATGGTAAATCTATCCTTCTTCGATCAATCCATATCTGGTTTGCATCATACTGGCACCTCACACCAATCAAGAGGGCCCTCGGCCATTCGCTTGATATCATGGGTTTTTCTTTCTTTCATATCTGGCTTGAAAGTGTTGAGTTTCGGAGAGAAAAGAGCAGTACGTGGTATATGGCCTCTAATTTCCCAATAGGGAGGGATGGTGGGAAAAGAAACACTGCTGAAGCACGATCCGTTGTCTGGAAGAGCACAACAGGGCAAGCAGAATTTTTTCTTTTCAGCAAAATGGGCTGGTGCCATTTTGTGATGACGCAGCAAAACAAAGCGCATGACGTCAGTTCAGTCTTGAAGGCAGTACGAAGCAATGCAGTGCATTGTGTGGGCATTGTGTGGGCTAGTTTGGATTGGATTGCTGCTAACAAGTACTAGCACACGTAGTACACCATTAGCAGGAGCACACACTTCAGGTTCTTAGGTACTGTCTGTGCCTACTTTTCCGATGATAAGAAACAAGGGACCAACAATGATAAAATGTATCGCCCCTAGACAGAACGTTAGAAATAATGACAAAATGGGGAAGTGTGAAGAAAACAAAGAAGCGTAGTGTGAAAAAAATTGACAGCCATGGCCATAACGTAGTTTTTGAATGTTTTGGAAGCTGTAAACATTAATGCCAATAAACCTACCTTATACAAAAGAAAAATCACAAATAGTCGGCAAGAAGACCTTTCTAATGAGATGGAAACGAAACTGTTTACAAATGCTGAACCGTAACCAATGGTGTGTGTGTGT